ACATCTAAGTAAGATAACTCAGCAGGCAGCTTCTGTTGTAATGATATAAACAAAGAATATTGAAGTGATGGAATACAGTCATTTTATCTTAAAGCTTCTATGTCATGCACTTTCATAACACAGTATTAAAGGTGGTAATGACATCACATTAATGGTTATTCTGATATGGTACTTCCATCTTCTCTCAAGATAAGCTATTCTCATTCATTGCTGCCCTGTGAACTTTATTATAATGCATGCCACAAGCTTTCTGCACCTACCATTAGAATCAAATGATTCCAACGTGTTTTTCATTAAAATCATCATGCACCACCTATCCACCAATAGGATCATAGTACACTCAAGTGATGCATGTGACTCCTCTATGTGCATCTACCGAACTATCACTTCTCGTTTGGCAGCGCTTGTACTCGGAAGTCTTTCCCTTTTTTGAGTTTGAGATAGTATTTTCTTGATGTGGTTTAATTTAATTTAAAATAGTCAGATGTTTTTTTACATTGTTTCAGTTCACTTACCCTTATTCCATGAATTCTGAAGTTAATTTCACAACTTCGGGTGTCACACAGTTGACAGGTGCTATACCACAGGTTTCAGGTGCTGGTGACCCGACAGGGGATTTGTCTATGATTATTTGCAGGGAGATTGAACATTATATGGGTCAACCTTTATATCCAGACATTGCCCCTCTTCCTCCTGAACCTGTGGAATCTTGTCAGGTTGACGAGGAATTTGATTGCCTGTTTTCACCTCCTGATTTTGCTGTGCTTTCCCATACCCTTCCTGAGGATTCTGTTAAGCCATCCATGATTTTTCAGACTATATTTATGAGATATGTGATGTTTTATCCCTTGCTCCTATATTTTATGACCCACATCTATTGTTATTGCATGAACATACTTTCCAACCCTATTTGGTGTTTCCCCCATCCCCTGAAAATCATGTTCATGCTGATCAATTTCCCTCTCAGTTGGGTGATGGCATTCGTATCAGTCAGACCTCGCAGGGCCGGACTGTCCATATCTCGACCAACAGCTGCTGGGTTCAATTTTGCCCATTTGGGGGGTGGGACCCGAATCTCCCATTAGTCTCACCCATGCCTCTGTCTTATCCTCACGACCCTTCTATGGTACCTTTCCATGATCCATCTTCTGTCTGAGGCTCTTCACAGAAATTCTGAGGGGTTTTCTGTGGACAATCTTTTCCTCCTACCTCCTCGTTGGCTTGTTTATCGTCTTTGGCTCTGGCTTTACATACGCAATATCTTTGGTGTTGGGACCTTTTAGGTCGTGATGCTGTTTTATCTTGAACCTGTTTACCAGCACCTTATCTCCAGGACTTGCATATGGCTCCATTTTTAAGACGTTTCGTTTTTGATATGGTCCCAGAATCCTTGGAGTCTCGGGTGGCATCTGCCCAGCAACACTCTACCATTTCCCAACAAGTTTTTCTTTTAACTCAGTTGAAGCCAGGTGTGGAACCTATTTCAGTTTCTCATCCTTCCCCTTCCCATCCCTTACTTATCCTTCCTTCCCACACTACCACGGCTTGCTGTTTTTCTCGACACATGCACGATACACAGCCAATAGTTCCAGTGACTACTTGGTGGGAGCTTGCCTTGTGGATTTTGTTCATCTGTGGTGCCTTTTCATCTCGGATGTCTGGGTTCTTCAGATTTTGTGAGAGGGATTCAAAATTCCATTTCTTGCCCCACCTCCCTTGTCCCATGTACCTGTTTCCTTCCCTTCTCCTTGGTATCCAGTAACTTTCCAGTGTCTATCAGAGGCAGGACCTCCTCACCCAAAAGACTGTAGAATCTGTTCCACATCATTCACTGGGGTTTTACTTCCATCTGTTTCTTGTCCCCCAAAAGACCAGGGACTGGAGGACTGTCATCGATCTGTCTCACCTCAATTGCTTTGTTCACCTCCCATGTTTCACATGCCCAATCTTTGGTGGGCTTTATCTCTGGGTCTATGGATGACTAAGATGGAAGTTTCCAATGCTTATCTGCATATTTTTATCTCGAAATAGTTTCGTCCTTATTTTTGGTTTGTCTATCGAGGGTATATATATATATCAATTTCATGTCATACCCTTCAGGCTGGCTTCGGCTCTGTACGTTCTCTGTGGGGTAGTATGAGCTTCTGCTCTTCATCTTCACGCCCTGGGACTGCATTTCATGTTTTTTCGTGGATGATGGCTGCTTGTGGCCTATTCTGAACAGGAGTCAGCTTGTCATACTCCTCAGCTCTTTCTTGAAGCTGCTCGGGGAGGCTGGTTGATTAAATTGGAGAAGTCCTTCCTAAGTCCTACCTAATATTTTCTACATTTGGGTGTCTTTTTGAACCTCAGTCAGGCCCAACCTTCTCCTCTCAGACTCTGTTCTAGGAAACTGTCAGTTCGCCACACCCTGTCTGCTCCCTCAGTTTCTGCATGCAAGGTTCTGTCACTCTTGGGGATGTTGTCTTCTATGACTCCACTAATCACCCTCGGCCATGCACACATGCGCTCCCTTCAGTGGACTCTGCACGATCAATGGAACCCTGCTCAGGATCTCTTGGATACTCCCATCACTCTTCCTCCTTCCCTTGTAGAAGATCTCCTTTGGTGGTATGACAAGACTCACATGTCGGCAGGTGTCCCACTTCCTACTCATTGTCTGGATTTACATCTGTTTATGGATGCATCCCATCAGGGCTGGGGTGCATGGGTAGATCACGAGGAGGCTTTGGATCATTGGTCTCTAGACGAAAAATCTTCACATATCAACTTCCTCAAGTTCCTATCTGTTTGTTGGGTTTTGAATCACTTTCTTTCCATTGCCAAACATTGTCTGGTAATGATCCATTCCAATGATTCCACGATATTTACTTATATCAATCACCAAGGCGGCACCCAGTCGAGATTGGTCTTATATTGGGCTCCATGTGCAACACATTCATTTAATTGAGTGTCATGTTCCAGATGCTTTCAACCTCGAGGCAGATTATCCTTCCCACCCCCACAAGGGTTACCTGGTGGATTGGTCCCATTATCCTCTAGTTTTCCGGTGGCTTTGCAGTCTGTGGGGGTGTTCCTCACATCGATCCTTTTTCCACCATCCTCAATCACTAGTTACCGCTCTTTTGGTCCCTGGTTTTTTATCTTCAGGCTTTGGCTATAGATGTCTTCAGCCAGGATTGGGCACAAAAATTCCTATATGTTTATCCTCCCATCTAATTACTTCATTGGATAGTTTCCCTGATCCATGTCACTCCATGCTGAGTCCATCTGATTGCTCCCTACTGGCCAGCTCAAACATGGTTTTCATGTTTACTCCACCTACAATTATTCCCTCCAGTACCACTTCCTTTATTACTCGACCTCCTTCAACAACCCCAGCACCAGTACTACATCCTACACTTCATGTCCTCCATCTTCACTCCTTGCTTTTGTCTAGTCCTTGGTGAGGAAATCTGGTTTCTCCCATCATGTAGCTTCTCATTTAGCCCAATCCATCCATCTTTCCTCCATGGAAGTGTATCAACGAAAGTGGAAAGTCTTTTGCATGTGGGCCCTATCTCAGGGTTTTCCAGCTGCTCGCCCTACTGTTGCTGGTATCTATGAGTTTCTCACGTGGCTTTTCAACCGGGAGTCTTTGTTATCCTCGATTTCAGGTTATTGGTCAGCCTTATCCCACACCTTCCCATTACCACAGAATTTTTCTCTCACCCCTCCTTACCATGTTAATCTGTTCCTTCTGGATTTGTCGACATCTTTGATGACCTGCCCTTCCAGATTTGGATATTAATGTGGTCTTCCATTCCCTTACGTTACTTCCGTTCAAACCTATATTCCTTATGTTCTTTGTTTCACCTATCCCTTAAGGCATATTTCCTTCTCCTTCTGGCCTGTGGGCATCGATGGTCTGACTTCTTCATCATTGATGTTACACACACACTTTACCACCATACCAATCTTCTCCTTTATCTGGATCATTCCTTCCTCCCCAAAACCTCGGTGGCTCATGAGGGTAACTCCTCCTTTTTGCCTATTTCTCTACCCTCTGTTTCTCATCTTCACCCCATCCCAATCTGAGTAGACTTCTATGTCCTGTGTGTGCCCTTTGTTGTTATATTGCCCGCATGGTTTCCTTCTGTGGTTCCCATTCCCGTCTCTTTATCACTTGGCAACCCTCTTCATCCAGGGATCTCTCCCCTTTTACACTCACCAATTGGGTTTGTCATTTGATCCAGTTGGCTTATTCCTCCTTGTCTCCTTCCAAGTGTAATTTGTACTATGTTAACTCTCATCAGATCTGAAACCTAACCTTTTCCCATGTGTCTCGTCTTCGTTGACCTATGGAGGAGATCCTTCAATCAGGCATGTGGACAAATCCTAACACATTCATCTCCCTTTTACGTCATATCGCGGTTTCGGCTTCTTCTGGTTTTCTCTTTCCACTTGTAGCCATACTCCAATCTTTGGTGTGACTCTGATACTAAGTCTTTATTAACCATTTATTTTCTTTCAGGGGCCAAATCTTCATACCTTCATTACTTGGATCCTGCTCTATGATGAATGGTGCCTGACCAGGTATTCTTTAACTCAAAATCCGCACTGTATGGCATGTTGAATAGTGCTTTCTTTCCATGGCTCTGCAAGTTCACCTTTGAGATGGAGTTTTTCACAAGATCGCTTGTAGGTGAATATATTTGCTTCATAAATTGGCCTGTCCCAGACCATACCACCCATGGACTTCATGGGTAAAGCAGAAGGGGATAGCTGCCCATTCCTGCCATGTCTTGATTGAATAAATTTGTATGGTCTGCTTTTCAAAATAGGGTTTTGTGATCACCAATTGCACTGTTTCAGGTGTCGATGTTCCCCCAGGTCTCTTCAATGCATTCTCACCCTCCTTTCCTTTATTGGAGTATGGGAGTCCTTACTACTTACCAAGCTGCTTGTGTGGTTGAACATGGAGCACCCTCCTGGATGGGTTCCACTTGAGATGGCTATAACCATTCAGTTCAAAGTAGGGTGGAGGTGTTCTTTCAGTGTAAATGATGTAATATACTCTGCTTAATGATTAAACATACAATGGAGTGAGATGTCAAAATGCAGTTCACCCTTTTGATTGGGAACCCTCTTCACACCCTGGAGTGGATGTCCGTACTCAGTGGGCTGGTTTTGGTTTTGAGTGAACCAATCAACATAGGTCCTCACACAGGTTTCGGGTTGTCTACCTTCCTTCCTTGAATATTCCTTCTGGGTTGTGGGTCACAGTTGAGATAGTGGGACTCTTCTGGTTCTGTCCTTTGCTCTCCCTCATTCTCTTTTTCTTATGTGGATGTTATTGCCCTTTAGATGGTCCTGTCGTATTTTATGGTCTTGGGAGTTGATTGCATGTGTTAGACTTCCTTTTGATACCGGATGTCACATTCCCAGATTGATAGGTCATCCCATCCTGTGTAACACCCAGGAATTGGAGTAGTTCTGAATTTCCCAGGTTCTTGGGTTTGAGGTAAAGATGGTATGATCCTCATTCTACCCTTGCGTGGATGTCAGTACCCCGCAAGGAGGTTTTGGTTCTAGTTTACTTGCCGAGTATGGTCCACCACGCTCTAGACACTCTACACCATGGGATGCATCCTCATTCTACCCTTGCGTGGATGTCAGTACTCCACAAGGAGGTTTTGGTTCTAGTTTACTTGCTGAGTATGGTCCACCACGCTCTAGACACTCTACACCATGGGATGCATCCTCATTTACCCACTTCTTTATTGTGAGATTGAGATACTACATCCATCTCTGGTTAGGATCACTTTCCCACCACTTGCTCTTTTCATTTTCCCTCCTGATTTGTACACATTCTTCAACTGGCCAAAGGGTATACCTGGATCAGAAGTGGTGTGGTTTCCCTTTCCGGATCTTCAGATCTGAATCTCTCATCTACAGGGGTATCCTTCAGACGCTTTTGGGGGGTACGTCTGTTCACTGGTCCATCCTTCTAATGAGTGTGGGATTCTAGCTACTCTTGTGAGTGGAGGGAGGGAAGTACCGTATTGAAAGTTATAATTTTCCTATACTGAAAATGTACTTTCGATAGCTAGTTGCTTCCACTCACACTTCCCACTCACTTCCGGTGCTTCCATTATCTGCCAAACTTCAAAGGGATAATTCGGTAGAGACACATAGAAGGAGTCACATGCGTCATGTGAGTGTACTATGATCCTATTGGTGGATAGGTGACGCATAATGATTTGCATGAGAGACACATTGAAATCATTTGATTCCATTAGTGGGGTGTGGAAGGCTTGTGGCATGCATAATAAAAAAGTTCACATATAGAAAGCAGCAATGAATGAGAATAGCTAATCTTGTGAGTTTGGGGGAAGTACCAGATGGAAATGCATTTTCAGTATAAGAAAATTATAACTTTAGCACTAACATGCAGATTTTATGAGCTGAATTTTGGCTTTTTCTCGATCAGACTCATCTTTTTTTTTTGTGTGAATTTATTTCCAGGTTTAATAATAATGTAGCGTTTCTGAAATCTTACTGATGCAGTTTTTCCGAAAGTCTGTAGACAAGATAAACAAATATTGATTATTTGTTATTTAGGTTCCATATGAGATTGCCATTATTCAACAGTTTCCTTTCTCTTCAGCTGCTCAAAGAATGAGTGTAATATGTAGAACACTTGGAAAACCCAACATGGACTTATATGTCAAGGGTGCACCAGAGAAGATAGCTTCTCTTTGTTTAAAGAACACCTGTAAGTGTAGTTGTTGTTTACCAGAGAAGAAAGCTTCTCTTTGTTTAAAGAACACCTGTAAGTGAAGTTGTTGTTTACCAGAGAAGATAGCTTCTCTTTGTTTAAAGAACACCTGTAAGTGTAGTTGTTGTTTACCAGAGAAGAAAGCTTCTCTTTGTTTAAAGAACACCTGTAAGTGTAGTTGTTGTTTACCAGAGAAGAAAGCTTCTCTTTGTTTAAAGAACACCTGTAAGTGTAGTTGTTGTTTACCAGAGAAGAAAGCTTCTCTTTGTTTAAAGAACACCTGTAAGTGTAGTTGTTGTTTACCAGAGAAG